ATGATAAATTAATGTAGAGAGTAAATATTAAATCAACTCGTTATCAGAAAGTTTTTATTTTTGTAAAACAGAGCAATAAAAAATAATCAACAAAAAATGATTGTGATTTACATAAAAAGATTTAGACATATTGTCGTTTTCACTTAATATAGCTGAAATTACCGAATGAATTTTTTTTTTTTTTTTTTTTTTTGTATATCAATTCACTCATGTGAGCGTTGATAATTAACGTTTGATAGCAGAAAGAGCGGAGGAGTTGGTAGTTAAGTTAATAGTTGAAAGGAATAAATGAAACAAAAAATGAATGAAACAAAAGTGGTAAAATAACAATTACCTTAGGCATGTGGAAAATATAAAGTTGAAATAAGAAAACATTAAATAGTGTGTAACATGATAAAGTTTAACTTCAAAAAGAATGATGATAATTACAAAAAGTGGTCAGAAAAACAAATTTCTCTAAAAATAAGTCTAGCGATTTCTCGTAAAAATGTCTTGGTAAAAATGATGACTGGTGTGTTGTGACAATTTAAAAAAAAAATTAGCACAGGAATATTAATATTGATTATGATATTTTGTATCTAATCTTTCTGAAAATGAAAATGAAGCTGCAATGACCTTTGCAGATAAAAAATTTAAGAACTGTTACCAATAGTATTCATGTTTAAAGCAAAATCTGCTCCATTTGATAAAAGCTATTTGTATAGTGAATCTGTTTTAAAAAATGTATCACAAAATGGTGGAAATCTCTAAAAATTTAGCCTGCAACATAATCATGGATATTGAGGGTTTGTTAAACGCACCAGCTTCTAGTGCTGGAATTGAAAGAATTTTTTTGACTTTTGGGATTGTTCCTTCAAAGTTAAGAAACAAGATGGGAGTAAAAAAAGTAGCAAAGCTTATTTTTATATACAGAACTTTAAATAATGATGTATTGGTTGATGAATTACAGCAGTAATTTTAACAAAAATTATAATTTACTTAAGTAAAATGGCTTTTTTTAATTGAAAAAGTTGATTAAAAATATCTTTTTTTTTTTTTAAAAAAAAGGAGTTTAAACCTAAAAAACCGTGTTTTTTTTGTTTAAAAAAAAACATGATTTTTTTTTTCAATAACAAAAAAAAAAAAAGGTTTTTTTGCACCCTGCTTTGATCTCAAATGACATTTTATGAGAGGAAGTATTTCATCTCTAACTTATGCCTAACATTAGTTCAAAAATTTAAAAAATTATAATTTTTTGTTCTGTTTTTGCATGATGACTTGATTGAGTTTTTGTAGAAAATAGTTATATATAAATTTATAAACAAATATATATATATATATTTCAATTTTTACTTTTTTAATTTATATAAAATGACCTATAAAAACTTTTCGTTTCTGTGAAAAACAGGAAAGTCTTAAATTTGTTAAATTTTAATTTTGTTAAGAAACATAAATAAAAACTGAAAACTGTGTCTAAGAAGCTTTAATAAGTAGTTTTAAGTAGCATCAAACCAAAGTTTTAACCAGTTTATGTTGTTGGTTAAAATAGAATAAGTTAAAATTAGCTTTTTTTATATTTTGAATCGGATAGAAAATGCTAACTTCCAATTATAAAACATGGTAGAAGAAATTATTGTAAGTAGAATACATATGTTATTTTTATTATTGAAGGTACAATATAACAGTATAAATGCATATCTTAAAAATAAATAGCTATATGCAAAAGAAGTTATTAACAGGCTTGGATGTTTCAACAAGGTAATAATTATAATCATACATCCAAGTTAATATGTTTCTTAACTATGAAAAAATGTCTTTTTATGGCCATCATAAAAACTTGTGACATTGGCATCTATAATATTGGTCATAAAAAGATCAATATTATAGATATTATTGATGTGAAAATACAAAGTATTAAGTTGTTTATTATTTTCTTTAAATTATTTTTATACATTTCAAATTAAGGTGGTGCTACCCATTGAAAAATATTTCAGATGATGTTAATCATTATTCATTGCAAAATAAACAGTTTTAAAAAAAATCTTTACTTTTTAGTGTAAAGTATAACATAGGTTTAAGTCCATCAAGTTATTATATTAGTTATTATGATCAGAAAAAAAAATACAGTAAAAAATTTCAACCAAAATGCCTACAATACTTAATCTTGTTTTTAAGTTAACAAAAACACAAATAAATAGAAAACAAAAATAGAAAAATACAAAAACAATTTAAAAAAAATTAGGCTGACAAAAATATTAATAAAACTATCAAATATTAATAAAACTACATTTTTTAAGTAAAATATTTTTGAAACTTTGATACAGTTGGTGTTAGGTAATATTAAATTCAATTGAGTGAAAAATTAAAATCAAATAAATTAAAAAGTTAAAAAATTAAAAATTACAACAAACAAGATATGTTATACCTGTAATGGTCCTTTATGCTGTTTAAGGGTAGTTGAAGAGATATCTTCATTATTTGCTTCAGAAGATAGTTGATTCTTAGATGCTATGCTAAAATCCTAAACATTTTTTAAAAAACTTATCCAAGTTACATAGAAATAAAAATAACCAAAAAAAACAAACTAATTATTGCTAATTACTGGGTTATTTACCAAATACTTGTAATCTAAATTTTTGCACAAGTTTTGTTACTTAGTTTTAAAAATAGGTAAAGTTGCATTGATGAAGCTTATGCATTTGCCTACTTGCTTGAAATAATAATATTTAATAGTAAAAAACAACCTTATTCTGTTATTATTTTGTTATGGTTTTCAATAAAACTATCATAAAGGTAATAAAACTAAATAATATGGTATAATCCTTGGTATATAATCGCTTATAATTAATACTTAATTTAACGCTGCTACTGCTCATTTGTGCGCATTTACACGGACATTTTTAACATTTATTATTAATAGGATTTAGCATGTTCATTCTTTCTATACTTTTGAACTCAAGCAATGAGGTACTCTCAAATCTTAATAATCTGTCAATATCTGCTTAATCAGTAATAAGACGGAAAACTTTGAATCATCAGCTAAACTATTGATAAGATGGACAATTTTTATTTCATAACTTCTGTAAAAGGATGAACCTTATGTCATTTTTGATAAAGGATGAACCTTATGCTATTTTCGAATTAGTAAAGTATTTTTTAAAGTCAGGTAATTTATTATTTCATGCATTTTAATAACAACACAATTCAAGTCCTTTGTGAATTGTATTTAAAGTATATCAACCTATAATTTTTAAATTAGAAGAAGATGATGAATCAAGAAGACGTTGCTCTTTTCAAAGGTCAAACTCTTGATAAAGTTAGTGTTTATTTCCAAAACCCTTGCATCTCACACGATTAACTCTATTACATGTTAAAGAACAAGATCGTTTAATGCCTTATTTTAAAGAAGTTTAAAAAAAATCTGTTTGCTTTTATAAAAAAAACAGATCATTTGATTGTTTATTTTTTCAAATTGTTAAACATTTATTACAAGGTATGCCATTAAACAAATATCAAAAAAATAAGCTTGTATTTGTAAAGTTTCTAATTTATATATTTTTCTTAATTTATATATTTATTTGTATTTTTGTGTTATTTATTGTTTATATGTGTTTATATGTGTTGAGGTTATATGGGTTTATATTTTGTAAGTGTGTAAATACCTTTTATATACAAGTGTTTCTATGTTTGTGATATAATGTTATTTGTTTATAGTTTGTAAGTGGTTATTATGTTGTTTGCATGGTTTCAAATTGTTGTGACTTGGCTTAGTTTACAGCAAGAATGTTGACCTTGCTAGCCAAGCGGTGTACTTTGCTATAATGTGACTTGGGTTTGTTAGTAGCAAGATTGTTGTCCATGCCAGTTAAGTAATGTAATGTCATGATGAAACACATAAATCTGTTTGTAGTTAGTGTAGTCCTAAAAAGTGGCGAAAAAATATTATTGAAAGAATGTGTTTATAATAAATGTTGAAAATATATATAGTTTTTTAATATCTACAATTTTTTATTTTAAGTAAACTTTATTGAACATATTTATACTTCATTAAATATTTTTTATACTGTTACTTTTTAAGTAAATTTTTTTAAAAGATATATACTTCTTTGTTCTTATTTGTTAACAATTAATGCTTTTTATGATAAATTTTGTTAAAAAACTGGCTTCATTTTTATAAATAGCTCCTCCCCATTTAAACATTTAATAGTCTTTATTTCCTTCATTAAATATGTTTAACTTGAATTTACTGTTTGTTTTTTTATTAAGGTATGTTTACAAAGTGTTTCATAAGTTTTTGTAACTTTCATTAACTTTTTAGGATTTTTCTTATAGAGAATGTTTTCTCCATAATAATATTTTAATGTTTTATATATTGACCTATTTTCTTTGGAATATTAAATATATAAAAAAAATTATAACAGTTCAAGAAGTTTCAATATTTTCAAGTCTCTTCACTTGAAGCAAATATATGATTGTTTATAGAGATTTTCTTTAATAGTTTTGAATTTACCTGTTAATTGCAAATCTCGCATTAAATGCCTTTCAAAGTAATGAAAAGGATTTTTGATGAAGGATTACATTTCACCATTTAATGCCAGCAGTATTTGCTGAGCAGACAGTCCTTATAATTTTTTAAATTTGCTTTATTTATGAGTTCTTATCTGTAAAAAATTTTGTAACTTTAATTAATTACTTTTTATTTTTTCGATCAAATACTAACAATATTTTGTCAATAATTATTAATAACTACATTAAATATATAACATTACTCAGTTATAAAGCTAATATCGATTTATTTATAACTTTAGTTTTTGATAGAAACATGTTATCTATACACATTGCTATATGTTTTTTAAAACATCTAATTTAAATATGACTAATAGTAGATGTAGAATATAATTAGATTATTATATTATACTCAGTTTTAAAGATAAGTTAAGAAAGAAAACTAAAATTTAATCTTGAAATAAAAGTGAAACTTTTATTATATTAAGCATCATTTTTACACAGAAAATCATGAGAGATTAAATTTATATTGTAGATATAGAATAAAATTTTGATTAGTTTGTTAATTTGATGAGGTATTAACTGTTCTATAGATATAGATCTACCACTATATAAATGTGTAATTTAACCAGAAAAAAAAATCAATGGTGTTTACACATATTTTTAATGTTAGTTAAGGAGGAGGAGGGGGGTACAAAAACTGACATCAGGAGAGGTTAGCCAAAAATTGACAGATTTTGACAAAGAAAGAAGGGGAGGGGGGAAATTGAGAAAAATCACTGACACCATTTATGGACAGCCCCTACGCGTACGTTGCTTTTTAGCTTGTTTTGCTGCTTTTTTGCTCTCAGCATTTTTCAACCTGTTAAGTATTTCAGGTTTGTTGAGACATTTCCCTTCGAATCTTAGTACATCTACATTTTTTCTTTTTTTTTGTGTCAACGTGTTGGATACAAAACATTTGTTGCAAAGCTGCTGCAAGTGATTGGGCTGATTGCAGTTGTTTTGCAACCTCTTTTTGAATTTTCTTTTGAATAGCCAGAGTTAGGGGAGAATCGGGTAGCCCCGGACACTTCAGGAAAATATAGATTGTACACATGTGCTAACATAAAACAAAGTGTCAAAAGACTTTTTTTAAAAGTTCAAAGGTTCATCTATTGAATTAGAAACAAAAAAATAATTATTGTGTATCTTAATAATATACAAAACATAAAAAAAAAAATGTTAGAAAAACGGCATGTTTCAAAATTGGGAGGTAGCCCCGGACACATAGTTTAAACATGATTTTACCTCTTTTTTACCAGTGTGACACAAATGTAATATATAATAATTTAGCATTGGACTGTTCTCAACACATTTTTAAAAAAATTGCCTTTAAAAATTGCCACCGATATATAAGGAATGAGAATGAAAATGTCATCATTTAAAAATAGAAACATAGGTTTTTTCAGAGGTGGAAAGTAACGATTTACATTTACTCAAGTTACTGTAATTGAGTAGTTATTTTGAGAATTTTTACTTTTTAAGTATTTTTTTAAATGTGTACTTTTACTTTTACTTAAGTATTTTTTTTCTAAAGTATTGTACTTAGCTACATTTGAAATCATATACGTTACTGAGTAAAAAAATTTATTATATATTGTTTAATTTTACAAATACTATGATTTAATTTTTTTGTTTTTTTTAGTTTCGCTCACTTTAATAAAAATGACACCTTTAAATTGTTTAAAAAGAAATGTTAAGCGCGCTCATAACACCTTTTAACTGCTTTAGCTTGGTTTCTTTTCACTTTTTACGTTCATAAAAAAATTTTCTGCGCAAAAAAAAAATTTTTATAAAGAAAAGAACGTGGTTTTTGTTTTTTTATTCAACAGCTTTGTTATCTGACAGGCTGCTAAAAAAGTAACGCAGTAACTTTTACTCTCAGTACATTTTTAATAAGCTACTTTTTACTTTTACTTGAGTAAACTTTTCGACCGGTAACTTTTACTTGTACTTGAGTAAAATTTCACTTAAGTAACAGTACTTTTACTTGAGTACAATTTTTTTTTACTTTTTCCACCTTTGGTTTTTTTATAATGGAAATAAATCCTTTAAAAACACTTTTTTCAAATCTAATGTTTTTTTATTGGAATTAAATGAGTTACTATTATAGATTTGTGCATTATATTAAATGTATTAATATTTATATAAAAAAAGTTGTTTATTATTATTATGTAAACGAAATAAGTTGTCCAGAGCCACCCTTTAATCATGTGTCCGATACCACCCGATCATACCTCATTCACAAATACTAGTTTTAAAACCAGTGAATTAAAGTTTTAAACAAACTTATTTTTAATAACTATTGTAAATAAAAATGCATCTTTAATCATTAAAAAGTTATTATTTTACATAACAATTAGGTATATTAATATGCAAATCAAATATGATTCGTCCCTCTTCTGGTGGTGGGAAACAAAATCTTGCCCTCCCAGTCATTCGCTTCAGCATATTATGATAGATATTTTGCATATGCCATATTTTCACTCAAATAATGTTATTATAGTATCAAAAGTCACATAGCTTCTTTAGTTTAAGCTGTACATCAAGTGTCCGGAGTTACCCGCCGTCCAGGGCTACCCGACTTTCCCCTACTACAATATTGAAGATTGTTTGCAGACAAGGTGACCGCAATTAACAAGAGAGTAACTAGCGTATTTATTTATTTATTAGAACCATTTTATAAAAGCAGTAAGTAAAAGTCATTTAAATTCAGTTAGAAAAATTTGTTCATTGAAATTCATACAAACAATTTATAGTTGGAGATTTATTGGTCACTTAAAGGGATCCCAAACTCCCAACACATGTTGTGTTCATATTAAAGATAATTTTAAAAAAAAAGGTTTGAACCAAATTTTTTTTGATTAAAAATAAATAATGAATGCATACCGTGAAAAGCAAATATTGTTGTTTTTGCCGAAGCTCGTCTTCTCCATTTTTCTCAACTACTCGGAGTCTTCAAATTATGCGTCG